TGCGGTTTTGGAGAAGTATTTTCTGCCCGGAAGTTCGTACCTGGAGTCAAGCACTTTATAATTAATTTCTTAAAACCGTCGTGCTCCACTGTGTTTAGGGTCATCATGTCTTTCGCCAGAAAGAATGAAACGACTCTCGTTATATCCTTGCTCCTTTTGGAACTCACTTCATAAGGAGTAATGGCCACAAAGGACGACGCGATCGATTTCTGCTTTGGTACAGCCCCGCTGCTAGCTCTACTTGTTGATGGAGTAACGTTAGCATCAGCCCGCATTTTCATGCTTTCAGTGTGTTCACTGGGATGACACTTTTTTAGGTGATGGAATAGGTTGGTTGTGTTACCAGTTTTGGTTTTGACCGGGCTACGACATATTTTACAGATCGTTTGAATCTGCGCCTCGTCACTCTTCAAAAAGCCAAACCACTTCCATATAACCGAATTTGTGCTACCTTGTTTGTCAACAATTTCATCATTTTTGACTACTTGCTCGATGTTTGTGTCACTTTCGCCACTGCTTTCACTCATTTTTGCCATCCTCGCCTCCAGCTTGTTTTGCAAAGTGCCGTAGGAAATTAGCTAACTTTGTTCTCTAACGTGCACGTTTAAAGCTGCATGTTGATTGGCTGTTGTCGCATATTGCTGCTGTGTGATTGGCTCTTACAAATCCATAGAGTAAAAATGCCGAGAGCTTATCATCGTTATTGATATCGATTTTATAGTGATTCGATATTATATCGTTTATCGGCACAGCACTAATGAGAGCTGCGATAATCTTATGTTAAATGTAATTTCATCAATAACATTATTCCTCACTAAAGAGGATTTTTTCTGCTACCCGTCTTTCAATGACTTTTGAAGAGAAAAAGACCATAACAGACAAAACCAACACCTTTTGAACATGAAGGCCCTTAAAATATTTGTGTGGGAGAATTACAAGTACAAACAACAACTGGAACTAAAACCCACACTGTTTTTATGATGCCTTTTTACAGACTCCACTTCCTACCTGCTGAGCCATGAGGTCCAGTCTGCTCTCCAGGGTGTTTGACACCTTGATCTTCCTATCAGCATTATAGATCTCAATCCCTCCAGACCTGAAGGATGACAAACATCAAAATGAGACAAACCAAATTTAGAGACCATCTGCGTTTCAAATTTTAAACCTGCAATAACATGTTTGGGCACTTGGGGCAGCTTATTTAGACTCATTATTTGTATTTAAGTCTATTAATGGCCTCGTCCACCATACCTGTCTGACCTGCTGTCCATTCGCACTACGCGTAGGGGTCTACGCTCCTCAGAGCACGTGTCTTTGGTTGTCCCACAGACAAGATATAGAAAATGGGGTGATCGTTCGTTTGCCGTGTATGGCCTTAGGCTCTGGAACTCCTTACCACCGGAGTTGCGGCCCATAACTGAGCTATCGTCTTTTAAGTCAAAACTAAAAACTCATCTCTTTAGACAGGCTTTCTGTGTCTAACGGGCTCCAGTGGCATCATGTCGATGGCTTGGAGCTTGTTGTTTTATATTTATACTTTGATATGGAAGTCTCAAATTAGCTTTTGATATTATATTGTGTGTTTTATTTTGCTCTTGGTTTTATCAAATCAAATTTATTTATATAGCACTTTAAAACAACATCCAGCTGACCAAAATACTTACTTACATGACAAAATAAAATCACAATAAATAACTAAAATAAAGTAAATAAGATCAGTGCAAATAAAAATAAAACAGCACAATAACACAGACACACATAACATACGTTCAGTAAATTAAAATAAAAGGAGTTAAAAGGAATGCATCAAGCCCTACTTTAAGCAATGATTTAAAAGTAATGAGGTCAGTAGCTGATCTAACATTAAAAGGTAGACTATTCCATAATTTAGAGGCTGCAACAGTAAAAGTGCGGTCACCCCAGCGTTTATATCTGGCTTGAAGATCTGAGGGAACTTGTAGGTTTGTGCCAGTGCACTAGTTCAGTTAGGTAAAATGGAGCCAAACCAGAGTCTTAAAAACAAAAATCAATAACTTAAAATCAATTCTAAAACGGACTAGAAGCCAGTGGAGAGAAGCCAGTACCGGGGTTATATGCTCGAATTTCCTAGTATTTGTCAAAAGACGAGCAGCAGCATTTTGTACCATTTGGAGACGAGTGAAGGCGGACTGGTTAACACCATAGTACAGAGCATTGCAATAATCAAGTCTAGAAGTGATAAAAGCATGAATTGCAATCTCAGATTCATTAAAAGAAAGGAATGACTTGACCTTGCTTAACAGCTTCAGGTGGAAGAAGCTAGATTTCACAACTGAGTTGATTTGCTTGTCAAACCTCAAGTCGCCATCAAACATCACCCCTAGATTTATTGATTATGTAGCTGGTTTTATATTGCTAATATAGGTTTTTCTGTGAAGTGCTCTGGGCTCCTCTGGAGTTGTAAAGTGCTATACAAATAAAGTATTATTATTATTATTATTATTAACACATCACAGAGCAACATCATCACTAATTTGTAGTCATGTTTCTATCAACTTTGCAACCATACCGTAAGTTGAATATTTTAGCTCTGATTTTGGTCGTAACACCTGTAACAACCTAGATCTTTTGGATCTTTAGCTGCTAAACTGAATCAAAACAGCAAAGTTGTGGGATGAAACACTGAGGGGAACTGCAGATTCAGGCGATAGGTTCCTCATTACAAGACTCCTTTCACATTTGATACATTGTTGGTTATAAAAAAAAAATTTTTTTTTTTAAACTGCCAATTACAGCTGCTATAAGATGCTTACATGTCTTGGGGGAGGAAATTGTCCTGGTCAATGTGGACCTCCAGGTTGTTCTTAACAGCTGCTTTATATATGGGAATATTCCTCTGGATGGACGCCTGGAAGACAAAGGTTAACAATAATACAATTTAAATTCAGAGAACTGATTCGAACATGCTCACACAAGTAAAACATGCTCACACAAATAAAAAGACTGCTGACCTGTACCATGTGCAAATCCTGTTTACGGCAGCGAAGAATCACCTTGGGCTCAAGAAGCTGATAAAATCCCTAATGGGAAGGAATTACGGTAATTACTATAATATGATGGGTTATGGAGTGAACATTTAAAAATTAAGTCAACGACACTAAAGTGTGCAAAAAGTGAAGGGGTCTGAATGCTTTCTGAAGCCGCTTTATGAGCCCCATACAACATATCTCAGCATGCACGAACAGTTACTTTCTTCTCTGCAACTTTTTCTTGTTATTTCAGTGAATGTATAAACTAATTATAAAAATTCTAACCAAAGTTCTTACAAACCTATAAAGTAGCTGAAAGTACACACACCTGTAAGATCAACCCGTCCATCAGAGCTGGATACCTGGCCGGATCTTTAGCGATCTTAGCGAGCCGCTGGCGAGCCTCGTTCAGCATTTCCTGAGGTACAAATACACACACAGGGTTTGCATTATTTACACAGAACTTTGTATTATTTAAATACAACCTCAAATCAGAAAAAGTTGGGATGGTATGTAAAATCACGACACCTCATCAATTTTATTCTTTGTTCAAAATAAACAATCACTTTAAATGTGATGCCAAAACAAAGTTGGGACGGGTGCATTTTAGGGCTAGCAATCAGCTAAAACTGTCCCAACGTTTTCTGATTTGGGGTTGTAGTCGATCTGTACGATCTCTACAGCAGCTTACCAAAATCATGTCATCACGGGCCTTGAGTACCTTCAGTCGAGCCTGGTTCATCAGGTTGGACATTTGGCTGTTGAGCAGACAGACGACATTATAATGCCTGACGAAGATCTTGTATAGATCGAAATGTTGCTGCTACTTATGAGTTAAATTATTGGGAGCTTAAGGCAGTGGGTAAACATTTTGCTTGCTTTTTGCCTTTAAGCTGTTGTTGGTTCAGCACCTGTATAGGTTTTATGGATGTGCATGTCCTATGTGCTTTGCTAGACAGACACCACACACATTGGGTCTGTTTAGATTTCTGTGTGGGCTGGGATTATGCAGAAACCCTGGAGACTGTTTGGGGCAGGTAACAGACATAGTAAAACAGAGTGGTTAAACAAAATTACAGAAACTCTGTGCCACATACAGCTGTTTATTTGTTCTTAAAAAAGTCAGATGAAGGAGGGTAGGACTTGAAGTATGCTGTGTCATCTCGCCGTGACTCACATTTTCTTCTGCTGCTCAATCTGCTTCTCTTTCTTCTCATAGTACTCCATTATCTTCAGCCTCTGAGTTTGGACCAGTCGGCCCTTCTCAATGTTGAACTCTTCTTCCGCCTGCAGGAGGAGTCACAGTTCAAAGCTGAAATCCTCTATTACAGCAGCATTTTGCACCAGTCATCAACTGAACTTTTGCCACTGTACAGGCTTTGTTTGAAGCTGCAAATTGAATCTTTTTTTTCCCCCCAGCACAAATACAAAGAAAGCCCAGAAGCTTCATAAGGCTTCATCTGGGGTACAGACATATCTTGGTGCTGGCCAAGAGTGACATCTTTAGTCACAGACTGGGTGGTACTAACAAGGTTGTGTGGACAGGGTAAAGCCTCATGAAAAATAAAATTAAAATGCACATGTGATACAGTCTGTATATGAGCATGTTTTATGAAAACATGAAAAAAGTATTTCTCAGTATTTTCAGTATCAACTCTTTAACCAGCAGCTACATGTCAGATCTTCAGTAAAACATGTAACACACAGGAGTTGACACCTGCAAGCATGCATGTTTTGACCAGCAACACAAAGACGACCTCGCTGGTTCACCCTGAGACATCAACTACAGAGCCGGTTTTCAAAAGACAAGAGACTGTGTGAAACTCTGTCCATCCTGTTTCACTGTGTTGTTCACCTGTGAGGGATCAGATGTGCTTGGCGAGTGGAGGATAGAGCCCAGAAGAAAACAAAAAAAGTCTAAGAGACACACACACAGCTGCTATGTTCACTGGCACTGGTCGTAAACCAGCACAGAGCAGAGAACATCCAGTTTAGCACTGAATATGAAGGGGAGACAGTTTGTTTTTTTAAAAGCCTTTTTTAAATTTTCACATTTCAACCACTGATTAATCAGGGTGCTGTAGTGACCTTGGGATTTAATGACTTTCCTCGTCTCTCTACTGTTGGCTCACTAATAAAAAGGTGTAAAAAAAAAAAAAAAAAGCAAAAATAAAAATGATTAATCATCCATTCTAGTTGCTGTCTACAGCACTGTGTGGTGATGTGTACACACGTTTATACCTTTGCATCGATTTCTTCTGCCTTCTCATTTGCCTCCTGTTCGATGAAGGCCATCATGTGCTTGATCTGTAAACAAGAAATACAAATGACAAACAAGACTAGGTTGTCTGAAAAACATTTAAGTTTGATTCCACCACAACATTTTCTGTTTGCTTGTGCATTTTGCTCCAGTTTGTGACTCTCGTATATTAGTGATGCATTCAAATCACAGCATTAAAGGTGCATTAACTAAGATTTTACACAGTCTGATAAATCCAGTGAAAATGAGACAGGACATGGTGTCTCTCAGCTATACTATCGCCCCCCCCATGACACTGTGCTCCCCACAGCCTTTCTGCTGTCACTCCAGCTTCTCTACCCTGTGTTCTCAAAGTACGGCCTGTAAATTAGCCCCACCTGCCGTGTAGCCAAGGTTATAAGAAGTGTTTTTCAAACCACAAGTTGTCATTTCAAACAGCCAGCCATGGAGGAGCTCTGGGCAGCTAAAAGTCTGAAACTGTGGCTGCCAAACTGAAGAAGTGGCATCTTTTACACAGAAAGTGGGACAAAGAAAGAGCACAAACCAGAGTTAACATCAGTTTGGGTTTTTGAGATGGGGAGGGTTAAAAGCAGCCAAAGGACCCAATTCTGATTCAGTGTGGACTACCGTAACACTCTCCTGACTGGCCTCCACAATAAGACAGACATTTGCACCTCATTCATACATTTCAAAACTAAGAAAGATTTTAATTAGTATTTTCATGTTTGTATGCACTATAAAAAGCACTTTGAATTGCCCATATGAAAATGTTCTATAATGATAAACCTGTCTCATCTTTTGACAGTCTGAATTTATTTTTATTTATTTATTTATTTTTGTTTTCATATCAATATGAATTCAAAACTGGCAGTATTTAGAATCATCTTCTGTAGTTCTGGGTTAGTCCTTTTGACACTTATTCTCAGCATTTTCTAAGAGTTCCCATTGGTGGTGTGTCCAGAGAGTCGCTCCTTTTGTCCAAGTTCCTCATTAGGGCCCTTGCATGTGTTCATCATGTGATTATTTGGAAATATTTCAGCACCAACTTCCACACAACACTGGCTTCAAAACAGCTGCTTATCCATTTTAAAACGGAATTCCTACATACAGACAACAATCAAAACAAGCTGATAGCTGTGTTTATTTCGATGCTAACCCTACGGTTCTCTCAATGTCATTCTCATCGACACGCACACTTGTAACTAAAACTACAGCGAAGAGAAACGTTTCATAGAGTTGTATCGAAACAGTTTGTAGTGTACAATATCGTTTGATCGCAGCATAACAGAAATGTTTGGATGGTGCCATTTTCAAGGCTGAAGTGGTTCGTTACCTGCTTCTGTACGTCGGCATCGCTGAGCGCCATGGTTGCAGCTGTTGACGATTAGCCGGGGCCTGCCGGAGAAAATAACAAAAAACACTTAAAACCACTAGAAGAGAAAAGATACTCTCACTCTGAAAAAACTGATTTTAGTCCTGTAATGCGAGACTTAAGTCAACAACTATTTACCCTTATATCACAAATAAGGAGGTTTCAATGGACTGCTGCAGTCGTGACCGTAAAGCTGTCTAGGAAGCAGCTGATTTTCAGTGTCACATGATTTCAACTTCCGGTGAGCAGCCAATCAGGCGAGAACGTAAAGAGACGCGCTTAAAAGACGGAAATCGTAGTTTTTCCTTGTTTTTTTTCAGGTATTAAATTACTGTTTGTATTCTTTTTTCTGCATAGTTCAGTTATACTGTATACTAGATTTTATTTTTGTTTGTTTATTTTTATTTTAAAGAGAAACTAAAAATTGTTATAAAACTGTTAATTTAACCAACTCTAAAATGTTCTTATAGAAAAGCAGGAGCTATGATATGTAATGATTTTATAGTGATAATTATTTGTTATTTAGGTGTATTTTAATTACATCATGTCCTTTGTTTTAAGTTGATTCTTAAAAACACAACTGAATGGGAAAACATGGCAGAAAGTTGGGAGTTCATTATAGTTTTTCACCTAGTAATGAGACATTATGTTTGCAAATGAAATGCAACCTGTGTATATGTACACAGTGTGTAGTTGTGTTGGTGCTGTTTTACTTTTTAAACTCCTCCTAGCATAGTTTCCAGTCTTGCGAGCAGAGGGAACTAGAAGTTGGAAAGGTCAGCTTAGTTCTTCTCCCTGTCTGACATGCATTTTCCACTTGGTGTCACCGGTTCACACTGATAACCTGCTGTTAGGACAGTGAACATAAAACCTCACAGACTGTTTCACCTGAATGAAACACTTGCCAGCTGACCTCTGACTACTGAGACACATTCAACGTACAGATTAAGTCACCACTGACTCCTCTCCAGGCAACTGTTGTGTCATGGCTCTGGGAGGTGGGGTGAGGGTGAGAGACAGAGACTTTTGAACAATTTGTCCATCTTGTTATTCCCATGTCAGAAACAGCATACATGTCTGCCTGTCTGTTTTTTACTGCCTTTGTGTCTGAATACACGTCTCACTTTGATTTCCAGTATTTTCGTCTCATCTAGCAACTCATTCAGCTCTGCACCAAGAGGACACAGGTATGCTAGGATGCTATGCTTTTTATTCAGATTGCAGAAAACTTCAGCTGCAAGAATCAAACCTGTGATTTGGCTTTCTGGCCTTTGTGTGCCATGCTGTACTAAAGTGTGTTTTCTGTAAACATGTCACTGATGAAGTGAAGGGCAAACTCTCACCTTACACAGGACAATTGTAAATAATGCCCAACCCACTCTGACATTGAATGCCGACCTTTTGTAAATTCTGGTTTCTAATGTCACTCTTTTGTCATCACACGTTAGCTTGGCATATGAAGAGTGGCCTATATCTCACTGATCATTTATTTCACCATTAGTCTGCTACTGCTGGGATAGGATCAGTAAAAATCCTATTGCTCAAGGAGATCAGTAAGTAAAAGAGGACCACAAAGTAGATGGTTGTCTGTATTCTTACCAGACAGGGTGACAGGTGAGCCTCTATGTGTATGTGTGTGTGTGTGTGTGTGTGTATATATGTCTGTGTGCATGTGTGGTGGCGGTGGTGGAGTGTTAAAATTTAAAATTATTCAAGTTTAATGCTTAAACCAGATGTGTTCCTGGGACTGAAGTCTGCAAAGGCCCACAGCCCACATAGCCCAGGAGAGGCAACATGGCAGCTAGGTGGCCATTAAATCTGTGACGTCTGGGAGGCGTATAGATCGGTCTGCTCACTCTGGAAGGGGTGGAGTGATAAAATGTCAAGGGTTTTAGCCATGAAAACATAAAAAAGGTTTTAAAAATACCCCACAAAAGTTCCAGATAAAAAACAAGAAAAAAAACAAACAAATTTAACAGATCTGAACGCTGAAATACAAATATAACCATTAATTATCAGGTGACTTAGCACCATAAAGGCACTGGAAATGTTTATTCATCATTTTCATTTTTCACAGCTGCGCTACTGCATAACAGACATCTGTTTTTCCCCAAAGTCATTACATTTCAAAAACATACTTTACATACAGTATTAGATGAACTATTTACATATTATGTTTTAATGTGGCTTCAGGAGATTTGCAGTGAGAAAAGAGCCAATCCATAAACCACTGCTTAAAAGCATAATAGACATTCTATGTGTGTTTGCAGTCCTATCCACACACAGTGACTCTCAATGTTTGTGACTTGTGACCCTTTAAAACAATTCAAATTTCACTCATGAATTTTCATAAAAGGTTACATGTCTGTGAGCAGTGAATATTTTAGAGTGAGAAGAGAAAGAAAAAGTGGTATGACATCCAAAAATAGTTCATGGTAGGAATCAAACCATGGATGCCATGGTCACATGGCTTCATCTGTTTGTTTTTCCTGTTTAGCGTTTACGCATCTTGAACTCTCTGTGTTACTCTCCTTCTATGCCGCTTTTTCCACCTCCACAGACTACTCCCTCCGGACCTAGGCTCTATCCAACCTCCACCAGCCAGGTTAATGCACAGTTACCAGTTTATCATCTGCCCAACCTCTATTTTCTATCTTCGCAGTAACCTCCATTTTCCACCGACCAGCTGAGGAGTGACCCCGGCAATGAAGCTCGGCCCACTCCTTCCATTTCATCATCTCTCTGTATTCTGCTGCTGATCGGCACCCAGTTCATCCAGTTCATCCACGCCTACCTTATCAAGTTGTTCACTACACTGTATATAATAAATCACTGTTTGCACCGAAGTCAGCTATCTGGGTCCTCCCCTGTGCGAGCGATCCTAACAAGTTTAACAGATGTTTAAACCCCAGACCAGCTGTTAAGGGTTTTTTTGTCATTAAGTGACAGGAACATGAGACAGTAAAGATCAGTGTTGAGAACATCTGTTCAGAGGGTTTTTATGAGGGACAGCCTTCTGCAGTCAAAGCTGAGGCGTGGTACAAGATGACAGAGAGGGTCACCTTGAGACTGAATTCAAGATGAGTTCATGCAAACAACCATGTATACAGCTTTATTTATAATATGAAAAATGGGTTTTCAGAAATTAAGAGTTGATTCTTTTGAGATTAAATGTTAATATTTCAGTTTTGAAATGAGAAATGAGCTGGTAGAGTTTTGGTGAAATAATTCATCACTTCCATTTTATGTTTCTACTCCCGTCCGATTCTCGTGTGAAATCAATGAAAATGATTCCAGTCCTGAGTGACAGATGGAGATGTACATCGTGCCTAAACATAGTGAGTTATGCAGGCCGAGGCTATAGATAGTCACAGGCACTGTAGCGCAGAGCAGCCAGTGAGAGGTTTTTTCCATTCACTGCCTCACTGATGTCACAGAGAACACAGACAAGTCAAAAATCAGGAGGGGAGGATGTAGCTGTTTGGCACAACATCATTTCTTTGAAGCCACTATGTGAAGAATGTTTCAAAGTATTCCAATAGCATAAATATGTTTGTACCAAAAAGTTACAGTTCTAGATTAAATCGATGCACTGTGTTACTTTCAGCCTACTGAGCTCATTGCTGTGGAAGCAATATAGAACTGTCTCCAAGTGTCTTTTTTTTAGACTTCTACCACCAGGGGGCACCAAAGGTTGGTAATTTTCAGAATCTACTCACAGTGGCTTCAGAGTCACAGATAATCATTGTCATTTCATTAATACATGAAACATTTAAACAAAGATATTCAGAAATATGAACTTATTGCAATTAGACTGTATTTAAATACAGTAAAGGTGACCACGCAGCAGGAGGGCACTGAAAACAGGTTTAACAGGCTGTCACACAGTAACCAGCAGTGCACAGGCAGGCAGGGGATGCGTGGCAGCAAAGTAAAGAGGATTACTTTCTGTGATCTCTAGCTTTTTACACAGCACATTTATGCTGATTATGTCAGACAAAGTCGTGACCATGAAACAATATTTTGGTCATTCCCTGTTTCACTCCTTATCGGATATCAGTTGAGCACAGTTTTATTGTTTGCCAACTGAAAGGAGGACAAAGAAGCGATTTTGTTGTTTTCATGTTGTTCAGATGTTTCACTGTGGATAGCAGTCTCTGCAAAAGCAACCTGGTAGACTCTAATCTTTTTTATTTTAGTGTTGGCTTTAAAGGGGTTAATGAAATTTAGATGACTTCATGTAAATGTAGTCACTTTCCACCACTGCTAGATATGAAAGACATGAGATTTACAGTACATGTGACATGAGTTGTCCCAGCTCTGGTGGGTTTTGTCTTTACAGCACTCAGCCTTCATTCTGGAGGGAAAGACCCCAGTCAACTCCAACAGGGGGGATGGAGGAGGAGGGGAGGATGGATCTCTCAGCCCCAGCCCTGCTGCCCTGTCTCTGACCCAGGTAGAGAGCCCCCAACCCTGGCAGAGTGAGAGCCTGCTGGCAGAGTCCTGGTCCACAGTAGACGATGTAGATCCCGAGGACACTAAGAGCATCAACAGCAGTGATGCGGGGGTTTTGGCTGGAGAGGACAACCACTCCTCCAATTCTGACACGGTCCACCTGGAGCGAGAGGAGGCCGAGATGCTGGAGGAGGCAGAGAAGGAGGCTGCAGAGGAGGAAAGGGGAAGAAGAACAGTGGAAGAGGAGGAAGAAGACAAAGAGCTACAGAAAAGTGTGTTGAGTGTGTTGGGTAGGGAGAGGGAGCTGGTTGAGCTCCGGGAGGATGAGCAGGACCTCCAGGCCCCTGAAACTCGGGAGCTCCTTGTGTCAGCAGAGGAGCCTCATGTGGAGAGGGAGCCCGCACAGTTCAGGCAGGTGGTTCCCCCAATGACTCTGCCTCCTCTGCCTATCGTCAAGCTGGATCCCCCCTCCACTACATCCACCCCGGTCCCTTCAATCACAACCTCTGAAGCAGAGGAGTTTTATTCTACCCAGGGGCTCCACCCTCCTTCTATCCTCACAGCGGTG